CGGAAGCCCTGCGGGGGCTTTACTGGCCATAATGTCACCTCATCAGTTACCACTGGGGTTGTGGGTGTCCATGCTTGCAGGATCCATGTGGCCAGTGAGGGCTAAATTTGTCTTGTTGCTTGTGGGTGAGTTGTTGATGGTTACAAGGGAAATCCTTAATTCCTGCATGAAACTCATCAATTCTTGGGGCTGAACAAGACTAATTAGGAAGACTTTTGATTTACATTCAGCTCTGTGTAGTTCCTAATGCTGATGAAAGTTTTTATTGCAGAAAAAGTGAATAACTTCCCTCCCCTGCCGAGGTTCATCCCCTTGAAGCCATGTTTCTACCAGGACTTCGATGCAGAGATCCCGCCACAGCACCGCACCATGGCCAAGCGGCTTTACTACCTCTGGATGTGTGAGTTGCTGGGCAGGGAAGGGCTCTGGTGGGTTTGTGTTTGCCTCTCCGAAGGCTGCTCCTCTGGCAGGCACCAGTTGAAAGAGCAGAGCAAGATCAGGGGAAGTCCTTCTGCCCCTCCCGGCCTTAGTGTCTCCTATTAAAACCTGTTGGGGATGGGATGGGGGCTGCAGCATGCTGTGGGTTTCAGCCCTTCCAGCCTCCAGGATGGAGGTGTGGAGCTGGCTTGGTGTCTGAGGGCCATCAGTGGTGACCTTGATGTCCAACTGGAGCCCGCTACAAGGAGGAGATGGCTCAGCACTAGTGCGTCCTCCTGCCGAAGGATTTACTCCCCTCTTTGTCTCGCTTGGCTGCTGGCTTCACCCTGCCAGAGAGCTGCTAGGACTCAGCTGGGTTTCTTTGGCAGCCAGGCTGGGGAAGGGCTTTCTCTGCCACCCCAAGCTCCTCGTGAGCCCTTCGGCAGCAGCCTGAGGCTGAGATGCCAGTAGGACTGGAGGGCCAGGGTGCCTGCTCCCTGAAACAGGGGAGCCTGGGGCCTCCCCCAAAGCCGGGTCTTGCCTGCTCCTCTTGCATGCCTCTGTGTGCCGTGCTGTGCTAACAGAGCTGTCACCGTCTTCTGACTCTTAAAACTAGCCTGGGTCTCTCTTCCTTACCAACCCCGGGTGGGAAGAAGAGCCAGAGGGACAGATAGCATCCTGACACATGTGGAAACATTACTGAAGATGATGCTAATTGCTGTGTGCAGCTCGGGGCAAGCTGGCACCATCATGTTATTTTTATTTAGCAGAACTTAGTTCCTTAATCGGGGCTTTTCCCTGAACTTTGGAAGCATATCAGTGCCCAGGGAGTGCCTTGTGCTTTGGAGGCAGGTTATGGGGAGCTGAGCTGGCACCAGAGAGGCTGGGCGTTTCTGTCTTTCGGCATGGTGCCAGGCTGGCACCCCTGGGGCGGTGCTTTGCTGTAGCTTTTGGGGACTGCATCCCATCAGGAAGGTGACCCTGGGGTAACTTCCCCCATCGTGTCAGGAGGGTTAGTGTAACTTTTCTGTGAAGGAGGAGGAAAAAAAAGTTGTGCTTCCCTGGAGAAGCTGTCTTGGGGGTGTTAAATCCCCTCCCCATCTCAATCTGGCTGCTCTTGCTCTGCGTAATTTAATAGAGCTCAGTTCTTGCTCCAGCTTCTCCCACAGCAGAAGCACCAGCTCTCTGAGCCAGTCGCCTGTCTGTTGGTTCTGTCTCTGGAGCTCCTGTCTGGATCATTTTCTCCCCAACTCCCCCACAAACACCCAGCCAGATGCAAGCACAGAGAGGCTGAAAGGTCCCCTCGGTGTCCTTGGGGGCTTTAGGGAGTAGCGAGTGCCCAGTCAACTGAGCTCCCTTTCTTGCCAGCTGCAGCTCTCTTGCAGGCGGTGGTGGGAGGGTTTTAATTCTCGTTGGAATAATGAATCATTCTCAAAAATTGGAGGCGTCAGAATGCAGATGAGCCTTCTCTGCTTTGTCCTGTGTCTGCTAAGCTGAGCTTCATAGTAATAGCCCTTGTATTGCTTAACCCCGAGCAAGGGTGGGAGAAGCAAACATGCCATCCCCCTGAACTGGTGAGGCAGGGGCCGGGAGTTCAGGACTTCAGCTTTCAGCTCAGGGGGTGTTATAACGCTCAGGGAATTCTTGCACAACTCCTTCAGCAAAACTGTAGCTGGAGGCAAGCGAAAAAGCTTTGTTTCTATTCCTCCAGTTTCCTTCCTTGGTGTAAGTGTGCCCCGGCTCACCGGCAGTGGGAGGATACAGCTCTTCCCCGTTCTCAGAGTCCCATGAGCCCCAGACCTACTTAAGACATTACAACTCCGAGTAATTTTTTTTTTTTTTTTCCCCCCTCCTGCTCCTCAGCTGAGGTTAGACCCCCTTTGGCTGAGCCAGCCTGGGGATGTTCCCTGGACTCAGTGAGCTTAATTTAAGTTAAGGGAAATCCAGCTAGAGTAACACATTGCTGGCCAAACCTGCTGGAGGTCAGCCCTGCATGGGCATCCCTGGGGTTGGGGTCTCTTGTATTGCACCGACGTCCTTGCATACACGCTACTGTGCTCCCTCTGTGTGTGTGTGTGTGTGTTTGCAGTGAACAGCATCACCTTGGCAGTGAATCTCGTTGGCTGCCTCGCATGGCTGATTGGAGGCGGTGGAGCTGTTAATTTTGGACTGGCAATTCTCTGGCTCATTCTCTTTACGCCCTGCTCCTATGTCTGCTGGTTTAGACCTATTTACAAAGCTTTCAAGTAAGTGGTCGCACCTGAGCCCGGCTTCTCATGGTCTTTTTTTTTGTTTTGTTTTCCTTCCTAAACAGTTAGTGCTTAGCTTGGGGCATTGCCTGAATATTTGGGGGAATTTCTGCTCTTTCTGTCCAGCCCTTTAGCTTTACTTTCTAACCTTCAAAGCGAGGGTGTTTGGGATTTTCTGAGGGCCAAAACCCCAACCATGCGATATAAAGACACCCTACTTATGTCTCTGCGCTGCGTCAGGGGGAGTGGTGAGGATGTAGTTGGGTTGCCAACCTTCCCTCCCCTCCTGCTCATCCTTGAGGCTTCTTTCATATTTTTCCATGAGTCCTCGAGGTGCTTACATTGATTATCTGTGCTGCTGAGGTCAATCCCCAGTGCAGCACCCCCACATCTAGAAAGCTGGGGGTGTATTTCTTCCCCAAGCAGGAAGGTTGAGTGATGGTGGGGTGGTGTGAGCCGAGAGCCGTGTCTGAACACAGATGCCCTCTTGCCTGATGCGCAGAGCTGGCTGAGCCATGGGGAGGGTCTGATGCCCCGTGGCTTTCCCAGGTGCCCCTTCACCACCTTCAGTCTCTCGCAGATTCTCCCTTGCCTGTAGTTCTGCTCTGGTGCCTGCTGTCTGCAGGCAGCTCTGCTTCTCACCACCCTCTCGCTAAACGACATCTGCTTCTGCCCTGAAAAGGTCTGAGACATGGGACCGTCTCCCTTCCCTTGCAATGCAGCAGGGATGGAGGTGTAGGGAGTGACTGAGCCTTCTCTTGCAGGACAGACAGTTCCTTCAGCTTCATGGCCTTCTTCTTCACCTTCATGGCCCAGCTGGTGATCAGCATTATCCAGGCAGTGGGAATCCCTGGCTGGGGTGTCTGGTAAGGAAGATGCTGCTCTCCTGTTGGGTGCAAGGACAGTCACTGTTGAGCTGGTGCTGTGGCCTTGTGGTATTTTAACATCCTCAGTACTTCAGTAGCCTCTCTCCTTGGGGAAGGCAGTTTGAGGAGCTGGGAGGGTTGTAGGGGAGGCATGCTGGCAGGCTGTGGTGTGCAGAGCCAGCCAGGAAAGCCTCAGGCTGCTGAATGGACCGGTTGTTTTCATCTCCTTACAGCGGCTGGATTGCAGCGATTTCCTTCTTTGGGACCAACGTGGGGTCGGCCGTGGTGATGCTGATCCCCACTGTCCTGTTCACGGGGATGGCGGTCTTCTCCTTCATCGCTCTCACCATGGTACGGGAGGAGAGGGCGGTACCGCGTTGCTTCAGGGAGCCCTTGCCACTACCCTGGAGGGTGAGCGTGAGCTGCAGTCGCGCAACACCTCTGGATTTTCTCTTTTCCAACCTGCTACAGGTGCATAAGTTTTACCGGGGGAGCGGGGGGAGCTTCAGCAAAGCCCAGGAGGAGTGGACCACAGGGGCATGGAAGAACCCCCATGTCCAGCAGGCAGCACAGAGCGCAGCGATGGGGGCGGCGCAGGGGGCCATGATGCAGCACGAGACGCAGTACTCTGCCACCCCAAACTACACCTACTCCAACGAGATGTGAGCAGCAGGACTGTGTCCTCGGGTGAAAGAGCTGGGGTGGGGAGGGAGGAGGAGGATGGCTGAGTTGAGTTTCTGCAGCTATTTCAGAAAGTTGGAGTGTACCATAATGGTTCTTCTTTTCCCAATCTTTGTAACGAGATCGTTTTGGATTTTTTCTCTCTCTCCCCCCCCCCCCCAATTGAGCTCTTCTTTTCTATTTTTCATTTTGAAGAGGCCATGAGTTGACCTGCAGGGCTCTTGTTGTGTGTGGTAGTAAGTGTAAGTTCACATGTCTTCTTTTTCCCTGTGAAATAGTGTACAGTGGTGGTTTTTTAATTTGTGTGGTGATAGGTGTATGTTAGAACTACATCAGCCAAAAGCCAGCCCCTCCCTGCCTCCTTGCAAAAGGGAAAGATAAAAATAGCAACCAGCACTCATCTCCCCTCTTGGAATAAGTGCTGAACCACAGGTTTCCGATGTGTGTGAGTTTTCTCTTTCAGTTAGTAGTGTCCAGCCACTTGCCACTGTCTCGGCAAGGGCAAGCAATCCCAGGGATTCTCTCTTTTCTTTTGCTTTTTAACTAGCAGGTGGCTGGCTGATTTAGCATTTAAAAAAAAAAAGAGGAGGAAAAGAAAAAAAAGAA